CTGTAGAAGGAGTAGCGTTTTTAAGGAATTTCACAGAAAATTCTATTTTTAGTAATCATGGCAACATCGTTCATCAAAATTAAAAACCGATGCATATTCTATGTATCTTAGTGTAGTCTACTTGTGTGCCAAGTTATATTGATAAAAAACAGAAGGAGTACGTTTTTAATTTCACAGAAAATTCTATTTTTAGTAACCATGGCAACACCGTTCATCGAAATCAAAAACCGATGCACTTTCTATTATGTTAATGTATCTACTTGTGTGCCAGTAATATTGAAATCAGACTAAAATTGTAGGAGGAGTAGCGTTTTGAAAAATTGTTTGAAGCTCTGTGTACGTTTATAACACTTACAAGTAACAAACAGCAGTGAAGATAGAAAAGAAGTATTTTATTATGTCAATGTTTTAATAATCTACTTTCAATCATTTTTTGAACCCGGGACCTCTGGCTTGCCAGTTCAATGCTCTACCAATAGAGCTAAAGGGTTGACCCACTAGCCCAAGCTAGTAGGATGCCATGTATCTTACACTACTACATAAAATTCAAAGATACTGGAGTTTTCTAACCCGTGTGTATACTATGTGGGTACATGAAAGCTTTTGACGCGTGACCAGGTAATTGTTTTCAAAACATGCAAACTCAGATTATCAGAAAGCACAGGTAGCTGTCCTGTCAATCAAATCAGAAGCTATTGTTTTTTTTTAATGATTGACAGCGGTAGGCGGCGCAATTTATGCGCCGCTTTACAAATTAGCCGATTATTAAGCTACAACCAATAATTAGTTTTTGATTAAAAAAAAAACACTTCCAACGTGTACGAACAAAATTAGATCTGAAATTTTAGGTTGAAAAACCTCTGCACATTGTTCCAAATTAATGAATTATTTTTATGAGTCCACGTGAAAATATATTTCCAAACTCCCAATAATCCTTTGCGGTGCATAGCAACATGGTGGCTAAAACATGCGCAACAACTTACTTTTTGAAAAAAAATTACAAACAACGATTTAATACATTCTCCATGCCACAAAACTAATCGTTTGCGGCCTAATGTCATTAGTAAGCTATCTTTTTTCCTTGGATTGTTCATACATGAATTCGTCACTTCGATGGTTCGGGTATTTCCGATTTTGTCAGGAAACACGGGCGATAGTGCATTTACTATCTAGAGAGTCCCGATGCTTTGAGGAAGAAATTTTTTTTTTGGATTTACGTATTTATATGGATTATTTTTTTGAATTATAGGCAGTACATGTGTAAGTTTATGATAGTACATAACTGCGCTCGCCCCAACGGTCACACCGTAAAACATATTAATGATTGACAGGCGGTAAATTATTGAATCAGGTAGATTTTGGGGGCATTAACATAAAATTTGGTGTTTAACAATTTATGTTTTCCTCACTTTACAAATTAGCCGATTATTAAGCTACAACCAATAATTAGTTTTTAATTTAAAAAAACACCTCCATTTTCTTCCATCAAGTGACAGTCTTTTAATCAACAAAATTAGATCTGAAATTTTAGATATTACTTTGTTCTGTAAAAACCTCTCTATCCTAGTCTTTTACATAACAAATAACGTCCCTTATAATTAATGGTTAATTAATTATTGTTTACCTGATAATGTTATATAATATTTATAGCGTGTGAATTTAGACAGCACTGCAGTCACTCCACTTGCAAAGCAGTAACTACAAAGTTCACAGTGTAGAGGTGATTCTTCTACAAGTTCAGTAAAATCAAGATTTCAATTACTTTTTTATAAAGTAATATTTTTTAACCCCACAATAAAAATACACGTGTATTTTTATTTAGTCAGGGGTAAGCTTTTTAAAAAAACTTGTGTTATATAATATTTATAGCGTGTGACAAGCCCCAGTGCAGCAGTAAGTGGTAGACTAATCGATAAGGGGGTTCGGACAACTACTTCGCTAATTTAGAAGTATGTCACTTCAAAGTAATTTTTAAAAAATGATATTTTGCTGAGTTTATGTACTGATGGCTAAGTCTAAGCGGTTGAAACAAACCCTCTTGCACTTACCAAGTGCTACCAATGTTTCTTTCAGGCGACGCGCCAAATGTTATACGCAAGATCCGGCGGGGCCTAATATTTAGAACAAAAATGTATGCAACTTATATTTCCGTAAAAGTGGGTAAATAGTGGGAACTCGAGATAAAAAAAAAAGGATTGGCCCAAAATATATTTCTTTACATGGATAATGGATTATTAACATCTTCTTTTACTTTCAACTATTAATAAATATGGAATTTGCACTTACTATATTAATTTTTCCATTGATTAAATGGTTTCTTTAAAATTCCTCCCATTTTCCTGCAAACAATGATAAATTCAGTATTATTCAGTATTTCATTAGAATATTTTTTGATAAGCATTATCTATTTATTTTTTTAGATATATATCTTTTTTTTAAAATATCAGATGTAGTCTCTAAGAAATTTTGTAAGGTTAAATTAATTAAGGGCTGGGTCAGGCATAAATCATGGATAATCGATCCACCCCAGTCCTAAAAAGAATACGTACAACAGAAATAGAGTGGGGTGTCACTTCTAAAGCTTAATTCATAACTAGGACTTTTCACACAAAACTTAGCATAGGTCACTTTTTTTTTCTTGAGGTGGGGAAGGGGGGGGGGGGCATTTTTAGTTGGTTTGGTATTCAATACATTTGATATATCTCTTCAAATTCCCCAGACCCCCTTTTTATCTGCACATGAATACTTAATAGTTGACAGATATCTATCATAGCCATGGGGAAAATCACACTCTCTACATAAATAAATTAGGAACCCCTCGGAAAATTGACTCTGAATGATGTTGAATTTCCATAGGAGGAATCCTAGCTACCATAGAGGCATTTTTCCATAGGCGAAGTCTTCCCCCCTTTGAGTCCTTTTTTCTGTTGGAGAAATCCTGCTAAAGCCAGTTAGTATTCCAAGGGGAAATATTTTAGAGGAGAATTTAAGCTAGGCACTTTATAAGTCGATCCAGCTTCTTGGATCATCATCAGCTTCTCTCAAATTACATGTATTAAGTCCAAGGCTGCATTCAAGATCATAGCAGCTAACCTAGCAGTTAGGTGTTAAATATCCTTCTCTGTTGAACAGACAGTTAGCTTAACTGCAAAGTGTCAGATAAAAATATTTCTGTAAAAACTTATTTTTGGAACAATATAAGATTTCATTTCAAGGGAAAATATTGTGTAAATTTATATTTAATTCTCTTGGATGTAGAAAATAATACCCCTTTTTTGTTAAAACTGAATGTGTTGTGAAGTTGTATTACTTCCATCTTGGATTTGGTACTTAGCATCAAATATTTATGTTAGCTATCACTAGCAACTTGGTTAGCTCTCTGTTCAAGAGCGTAACTTTATGTAGCAGCTACGTATCGCTTGGTACCCCTGAATTAAATGTATACCTTAAGGACATACGCAAGGTACCTTACCTACTACAAAATCATATATATTTTAACACTCATAATTTTTCTAAATAAAGATATTCTTTATTTAAGATTATGGTCCATCAGATATTTATAGACAAAAAATCAGCATGCATTACCAGGGGTTTTTGGATTATCTTAAATTATGAAAATTTTTGCATTATTCAAAGAAAAATATATAAAAATTACAAAACATAAATTCAAAATTTTTTTCCATCAAAATTTGTTTTAGAAGAGGTGTACAAATCCATATATAGGCATCAAAAGTATTGTACACAGGTCCTTCATTTATAGAACTCTTCAACTCCAGGGAAGAGCCCAATAAAGTTCAAACTACGTTGCGTATGACCTTAAAGTCATTTAGAGGTGCTCTTGAAAGTTCAAGTTTAAGAGTGAACATGTTTTATTCATGTGTATATACGATATTTAATTCACAAGGTGAGGTAGATATCTACAAAATCATATATATTTTAACACTCAAATTAACACATATAAATCTAAAACATATTATATGATGAATTATGCTCTTCATTTTTTTTTATATTTCTATTAAATAATTTGATTGTATTTGTAAATAAATGTACAATTGCATGTGCATGCAAAAAAAAAAAATCACCAAATGAAGTCCCCAGAAAGACATTATATCTGCTAGTCCAGTATTGAGCATAAATTTCAATTTAAAATATTTGTAGATTACAGTGATTATATATGTATTGGCCACTTAATAACTGGAGGATATATCGGGATAGTTACACTGTATATATATATCAGAATTTATACATGATCATTAAAATTGTTAGACTAAGTGTATATTATAATCATATATTAACAAATCAAAATAAATTATACTCAGATTAATACTTTAAAAGTTTTTAACAACAAAGAATAAGCATGTTTATAAATAATACATCGAGATTTCATTTCCTCCTAAAATATACCGGTACAATAAATAATACTGAATAATTCATGATTTGATATAATCAAAAAAAAGATTTTTGCTAAAGACTGCATGTCAAATTGTACAGTATTTAAATTTTCATATGAAGGAAAAAAATTTGATTATTGTGTTCATGCAGTTCTATAAACTTCTTGCTATAGAGGATTTTCATGCAGTGTTATCATTAAAATTTACAAAATAAAAAGATTAAAAATTGACTTTTATCCTTCAATAAAAATTACACTGTGTGAAGATCTTTGGGGAAAAAACATATATAAAGTCAAGAAAACAATGAGATAATGTGGCATCCTCTTTAGAGTTTGAATGTTTTTACCAATACCAGGGTTAATTTACATGTCTTAAATTGGAAACAGCAACCTCTTTTATATAGATTATTGATTTGAATATTATATTATGAATAATTCAAAAATATATCAAAATATCTATGCATAAAAATTATTGACTCATTCAGAAAGTTATGTACTAGTAGATACCCGACACATGTATCATAAATATTAATCCAAAACTTGTGATTCACTTTTCAATCTGAATCAAGGTAAAAATTGGCACCAAAGTTAAAAAAAATATGTGCTACATGTATTGCAATTTTTCTAAAAAAAAAAAATCACTAGTGCACTATTGTGTTGCAGTAGTCATGGTCTGTGAGCATACAAATAAATATGGCAGTTTAAACAATGATAAGTAAGGCAATCCTATTCTTTTACTCCACCAAGTAAAAGTCACTGATGCGCTTGGCAAGAATAATGCAGTTCATCTGTGGTGAAATGAGATGGCGATGAAGCATGCGGACGGTGGCTCCCGCACTCTGACCCCAGGACTGGAGCACATACTCCGCCGGATTCTCTACCTTCCAGCGCCGCCATTGCTGAATGGTCTCCAGAGGAATCCCCACCCTCTCTCCCAGCATTCTCCAGTCAGCACCTAAAACCACAGATAAAAAAATCTTCAGACCAGCGGCACTGTGATAAAAAGGGAAGTAACTCATATGCAGGTACAAGTTAATTCAAAACTAGAATGACAGACATTGCATCAAAATAAATACATGTATGTTCCAACAACTTGTGTTAACTTAATTAATCAACTGCAGAATTGTCTCCAACTTTTATAACACCCTCCCAAGAAAAATGTCTTTAACCTGGAAAAAATGTCCTAATTTTGCCATAGTCATGCAAACAAGCTTACCATTTCCTTTGTACATGCTGAGGTTTTGTATGATATACTTCTTGAGGTCAGGGTTCATGTTCTTGATATGTGTGTCTCCAGCAAGCTTTTTCAGGGGCTGTAAAGATTAAGAGATTTATATAGAAAGGTCAATCTTACAACAGAGTTTGAGGGGATATAGTAGAGCAATTGTGTGTGTTTGTAGGTGAGTTAGTGCTGTACTAAACAAAAGTGACTTAATTCAAAACATTTGTACCATTATGCTAAAATTTCCACTTTATATGGTAATTGAAAAGGGAATAATTTTCTCAGCTTACTGGTGACAGACTGACGGGTTGGAATTCTTTGACTAGGGACTGCCTGGGTGTGTCCAGCGGAGGGACTGTTGTTGACACTGGATGGTCAGCTTCATTGGGAGGGATTGTTGTTACATCATAACTCTCATCTTCTTCTTGTTCCAAACAGGAAAAGAGACGATTTCCTCCTGTAGAAAATATTGAGGTGGCTATGATGACAAATAATAACAATGCCGCCATTTAACTTTAAATAAAACTAGAGGTACTGTGAGCACCATATGAATATAATGGCAGTGTCCATGTTTTGCTATGGGAAACCCAAAATATGTGTTGGATCAAAAAATAAAATATGAGGTACACATGCAATGGCAATATGTAAAGTAGAATCTGTAAAAGTCTTATTGAATTTCATTAAGTGGTATAAGAGGAGTTGCGGATATGAGATGGGTACCCCAAAGCATAACGGACAGTCTGACGAACACTCCATCAATATATACACCCCTGCTTTACAAAGGTGGTGGGGGGATAACAAACAACCGAGAACAAGTCCCTTACACTTGTATTACATATTCGTTATACTCCCCGCTTGAAAAGTGGGAGGGTATATAGTGATCGGGATGATTTAGTGAGCTCAGTGCTCACAGTACCACTAGTTTCTTATAGGAATGTGACTTGAAAATCTGGGTTGCCTGAACTTCTTATTTGTTCTCAAAAAAAATTTCCTAAAAAGTTCTCAAATAAAAATTATTTATAAAGAGAGGTACTGTGAGCAATATGAGCTCACTGAATGATGTCCCCTGCCTCCCATATGGTTATTGTGATGAAGTCCATGTTTGGGAAACCCGAAATAAGTGTCAAATCAAAAAGTAAAATAGAAGGTGCACAATGGCATTACGTAATAAATAATCATTGAAAGTATCATTCAGTTTTATTCAGTGGTATAGGAGGAGTTTCAGTAAAGAAATGGGAACCCTTCAAGAATATAGAAAGAATGGAACTGACCATGTTTTAAAATGGGAAACCCATAATTTGTGTCCCATCAAAAAGTAAAATAGGAGGTGCATAATGGCACTTTGTAATGAAGATTCTTCGAAAGTCTCACTAAATTTCATTCAGTGGTAAAAGAGGAGTTGTGGATAAGAGATGGGTACTCCAGGGGATGTAAAATTGTGTTGTTTTTATGTAACAGATGGACCTACAGCTATACATAGACTAGCAGCCATGATGAAAGGTCATACAGATTTTCCATGGACAGACACCCTGATCAAAATGTTATGCTATATACCCTCCAAAATTAAATTATTCACTTTTCAAGCAGGAGGTATAAATATAATTTTTCATAGGTAATATTGATAATTTTTCTAACACTTAGCATGCCAGTTTAATATATTCCAATGAAAATTCTAATTTTTAAATTTCCCGATTAAATCCCAACATTCCCATGCATATATATCTGAGTAACATTTGTATTAAATTACCTATGAGTTATCAATCCATATATTAATATTACTTGAGCAATAAAAGTCTACCCATCACCATGTAAAGAATCAAGCAGCCTATAAAAGGACTTAGAAGAATTATCATTTTACATGAAACTTTACCCTTGGAGGAATCTAAACTGTGGCTAAGGAGAAATACAGATATTTTTTAAAAAATGGATCAAACTTTTGAGAAAATTCAATTGAAAAGCATGCATTCATTTGACCTCAAAGTAATACAAGTATTTTAAAAATTCTGAAGTAATATTGACTGCAGAGAAATCCAATGCCCAAAAGAATGGTTAGAGAGGTAACAGAATGTACCAGTATATGGCCATCTATCATTGAAGATGTGATAAAACTAATGCATAACGTAGAAATTCTAATGGCTGATGGTTAATTCTAAAACTTACGGAGTTCATATAGCAAAAACCTAGCCTTTGTTTTAGCATCTACAAGCGTCTCACAAAACTCTATATCCTCTAAGCCATTTTCTAGACTCAGCCTTAATTGTACCATCTTGGCAAGTTCCATATTCAGATGAGTGATTCTTGTTTCAAGCTCCTCAACTCTCAATTCCACGGGTCCCTTCTTTTTACGCTTGTCTCCGTTTGTAATTAAATCTAATATTTGATTCAAATTCTCTACTGATACATTCAGTGGCATCTTAGATTTTTCACTCTCAGATAACTCATATCCCTTGCTTTGTCCGTATTCCACAATTCTTTTAGAAAGGTACTCCACTTTGTCTCTAAGTTCACTGTTTTCCTCCTTATATCTTGTGATCATCTTTTGTAAATCTTCATTTTGGCTGGTTAATTCTTCTAACTTTTCCTTATTTATTAATTGTTCTTTTAACGATGCTGATATTTTCGCAGAATTTGATCGCGTTTCCTTCTTCATGCTTGATTTCTTCTGTTTACTTGCCATGGGTTAAGACATGCAGTACATGAATTGTCCCGACTGCTAAAGTAAAAAAAAAGATACATGTATATACTTCTAAAATAAAAAAAAAAAAAGATTCTATACATATAAAAAATAGACATGTATATAAGCTGTGAATCATAGACAATGAAGTGTGAACACTCGCAATACTGAATCTGTATAATTATTAAATGTATACATGTATACTGATAGCAAATAAAATACATGTATGTCAATATGCATATAAAGATTTGATTGCTTATTCTTTATTATGTGTATAGAAGATTTTTTTATATGTCTGTTTATCACACTGTAATGATGATTTTATAACCACATAAATTATTTATAATCACATGCTGAAAATTGTATTTGGAGTAGAAAAGTATTTAAAAAAATTTCACAAAAAAAGAAGGATTTCTATTTTTAGTAACCACGGCAACACCGTTCACTTGAAGCGAAAGACATATACCACTATTATGTACTTACGGAATCGCTTTACGCTTGTGTGCCAAGTTATACTGAAATGCAAAACTGAAGTCACATACGTGTATATATTCATGTTTTCATGTTCGGCAACACCGTTCATCGAAATTTTACACAATCCATGGCGTTTGAACTGTTATTTAGCCTTTATTAAACAGTGTGCTAATAGATATGTAATAAGAACATAAAGTCCGCCGAGAGCATGCTTTATACGAATTTCAACTTCCTATTTTTGCGCTAAAAATAGCAACATGTAATACTATAAATACTAAAAACCAAACAGGGCAGAACTTATGTATCTTAGATGTCCTAGTTACTTGTGTGCCAAAATTATATTGAAATCAGACTAAAATCTGTAAATAGGAGTAAATGATAGTATTACACACAGACAGAATGTATAAATTTACGTAACCACGGCAACTTTGACCTTTTGACCTCAAAATCAATAGGGGTCTTCATTAGGCCACAGGGAGTTGTTATGTGCCAAATTTCATTGCAATAGCTCAAATGGTTCTAGGAGTATATTTGGAAACGAATGATTTAACAGAAATTTGCTTATTTATGACCACGGCAACCTTTGACCTTTTGACCTCAAAATCAATAGGGTGTCTTCTTTAGTCCATTGTGTGCCAGTTATATTGCTAAATTTCATTGCAAAAGCTCAAAGGGTTCATTTTGAGAATTTCACAGTTTCTATTTTTAAACCACGGCAACACCGTTCATCAGACAAAAAAGACACAGAATTATGTATTTTAGTGTAGTCTACTTGTGTGCCAAGTTATATTGAAATCAGACTTTTCAAAACTGTAGGGGATTTTGAAAAAAAAAATAGATTCTATACATATAAAAAATAGACATGTATCTAAGCTGTGAATCATAGACAATGAAGTGTGAACACTCGCAATAAAAAAGAGAGATGACATAATCATATTTCAGTTTTACTTATTGGTACCATTCGACTGTGTTCCAAATTATAAGCACAGACAAAGAATCCAAAACCATGCATGATCAATATTTTTTTCAGAAAGTATTGGTAAAAAATGTTCCCCGATGAGTAACCAAGTGAATATGTGGATCATTATTTTAAAAGCCAACTACGTGAAAAGAAGAAACATAAACTTTAAATACATAGGAAACACCTGACAATCAAACAGGAATATTTGTATAATGGGGCATTTAAACATTTACATGTCGCTCTTCTTTTCCTTCCTATCTGAGTCTTTAAAATGTTTGCCTGATTGTTAGAAGTAGCTAGACTATTTAAATTCCTATGTAAATACATTAATAACAGATTGTACATAACATCAAGGCTTCAAGTTTTTCTAAGATCTCTAAGCAAGCTAAGTCTATAAATATGTCTTTTTAAACCTTTGGTTTAGCATTTCAGAGGCCAATTTTATTACTTCTACAATGTTAAGTACAATACATTACAGCCATGAGTACCTAAAAAAGAAATAGATATAGATTTTTCATTTGTGTAAATTTACATAAATTGAATTTTTTAAGAGGCTTTGTTCTGTAGATTGATCTTAGTTTACTTTTTATAATGGTTGTGCTTTACCGATTTCTAAATAGACCATTGATGATGACCTTGAAAGCAGGTTTACTATTTTTGAAATATATATTACATACCAATTCTCACATTATCCATCCATAATACCATATGCAGCCTAATGTTCAGAAAAAAAGGATTATTTAGGGGAAAGAGTTTGTTTTGAATTCCTGTTTTTTACATATATATTGTCTTAATTAAAGTTGAAAAAACTCCCTCAAATTATTATAAACAGTACTTACATTTTGGATTTCAATTAATCCTTGGTGTTCACCACAGGTGACTAGAACTGTAAAAAGCATATCAATGATCATATCTTATCTTAAAATATTATGCAAAGTGATACAAAATAGCATACAAATTCATCAATATTTGATTTATCTTAGCTGTTAATTCAACAAACATGATAACAATCAACAAAGAACTTGAATATAATATACATACCTCCTTACAGAAAGAGAGAGAAAAGCTGACATATCCAGAAGTATTGACTGGAGGCTTGGTTCCTGTGACCTGAAATATACAACAGTACTTATAGACTGGTTGATAAATGCTTGGAAACAAAGAGCCAAATTGTAGTCAAGGTTTAACTTATCACTAACACTTGACTGAGATAAAGTTTACTTCTTCAATTACTATTCTTCTACAACCATTCTAAAGTCCATTTAATAAAAAATTATCTTTTTTGAAAATTTAATCAAAGTGGTAAGACACTGCCTCTAGTTAAATTATTAATGAATTGCATGTTGATTATATACATTTCAAAGCATTTAAATAGCTATTTAATGAAACAACATTAATAATGTGGTGTTGAATGTGCTAGCAAAAGAATACCAGCTAGATAGCAACTCAATCATGACAGAATTTATTAAAATTCTTCTCTCTCCATGGATCCAATGGAAAGTAAAATGCAAACATTTAAGCTCAGGTATATTTAAGTATTCACACAATCATATCAAGATACCTGTCTGGGATTCTATTAATTGATCTAAATTAAGTTCAAGAATTTTATCCAGAATTATATTTAGTGCCATTTAACCTTTTGAATGAATAAGTTATTTTTAAAAAAAGTTATAGCTGCCAGAGGACAACCATTGGGTCCTGGCTCCAATTGTGAAAAAACCATTATAAAGTCATTAGTACATTGGAACATTAAAAACAAGTAATTACAAGAAGTGTTTTGATCTGATTTAAAATAATCATTTGAAATAAGACTATGCAGATGAGTTGTTAGAGCATTTGCACATGCAGTGATTCATAGAGAGTCTGGCCTAAAAATGCCTGCCAGGGGTCAGAATTTTATTCAATTAAGTTCATCCATTCCATCATTTTCTCAGTCTTCTTGTTACAATATTTTAGCAGTGAAAGGAAAACATATAATCTTGAAAACATGATAGCCAAGTTTAAAGACTTTGATTCTATTTCAATCAGACAGTTGGTATTAACTACCATCTAGTTTATACCCACAGAGAGTTCTAAATGACTGACTGCATGATGTGGAAAATTGAAGAGAGTAAATAATTGATGATTTTTTTTTCTTTACGTGGATTGTTTTCATATTTGACATATTATACTTTACATTTATAAATTCAATTTAAACATGTATATATGATTTTCATGCATGATCACCTCTATTTTTCACATATTGCTAGATGTACATGGAACGGTGAGTGCTTATTCTGAGACCCAATTAATTGTTTTAACAATTAAGTAATCAGATCATAATAAACCAGGAACTGGCTACTAAGTCAAAATTTTGATGATAGTTCTAGATCTATTTTTGATATTTTGACTTCAGACTACTCTCACATTAGGGGTTAGTCCGAAATATCTAACGTTTCCAGGCTATTTTTACGATTTTGATATTTTAGGTGCTATAGACACATAAAACATCAAAACCGTAAAAAAAAAAGCCAGGAAGATATTTCAGACTAATTATGGTAATCCCTGTTGAGATTCTGCTAGGCTAGATATTTGGACTGACGTCTGCGACGGCGTCAGTCTAAATATCTAGCCTAGCAGAATTTCAACAGGGATTAGTATTGCATGAAACCTGATCCTATTATTATCATATTTTTTATAAATAAAAAGATTAATTATGTTTCAACCATAATTCTGGGGAAATAGAACGTTTCCTCGTAAATCATTTGTTTAACATTGTTACTTACTTATTTCTCCAGAAACTGTTGTAAGACACAAACTTTACAAATTTGGTGAAACGAGCACATGCTCAGCAACTTGTTGACAAGGAAGCCAGACATGCGCATTCATGTTTACAACATATCCGTTACGTCATTTCCGTAAACACTTCCAATGGAAGAAAATGATAAAATGTCAGAAGCAGAAATTCTGTTAATCGATATCATTATATATTGAGCGTTTTCCAGCCACCTGAAAGAGCAAGAGGGAAAGATTCTATTCAGAAATGAAATCAATAATTTTTCTTACGTTTTGAGGCTGAAATAACTGTAATGCTTCACCACAAAAAAAAACGTTAAATTACTCACAGTTCACTTCACATGTTGACAGTTCAGTATCATCATTAATTAATACGTAACCTGTAGGACTTTGATGATTCACTACATATAAATGCGAATTATCTAATAATGTAGGACATAACTATATTTTTTATACACACATGTGTAGAAATTGGTTATCTTCGGAAAATGTATAGTGCTTTGCAATTTCGCTGACTGTGCCATGTAAATCTCCACATACCAACTCATTGTCTAAAACTGGAGTGGTGGAAAGATGCAATTAATTAATACCGACAGAAATATATATCTCAGGATGAAAATGTGATTAATAAACTTCTTCTAACCTGGGATATATGCATGTATATTATCACATGTGGAGGTGATGTCAAACTATTGATTTTACGGAATTATATATACTGTTTTAGATAATGTTGCGTCGGTAAACTTCAGTATACTTACATTTCATGGATTTCTGCAGAGTTATTTCTGGAAAATTTAAGTGATGCAGTATTATTGTTTTGCTGTCATTCTATATAAGGGAGCAAATTATTCCTGGGCATAATGCAGAATGACTCATCTCGGGCTCCCTTAGCTTCTTTTGATACTATTGACCTTGGAGAAGAAGAAAAGACTTTCAGAGGCGTTTCTGTGAATAATAGAGCATTGAAAACTAACAATCAACATGAAATTAACCCATCCATCAAAAAGTCAGGAGATGAAAATGTGTTTGATGAATGTGATTCTAAACTCAGAAAGAAAATTGGAAAATTTTTAACCACCAAAACGTACAAAAAAATAATAGAAACCAAAGAGGAAAAGAATTATGAAGGTGAGAGAGAAACTGTTTTAGGACCTAATGATGAAGCCTTAAGCACAGCTTCTCCTCCACCATGTAACAGTTCAGATTCAGGCTCTGATAGCTCCGACTCAGATAGTGGGTATTTACGCTCTGGATATGTGAAGGTGGAAAGTAGACAGTCTGGTGATTCTGACTCTGGACTTCACGTTGAATCATCTTACTTTAAGCATATTTCAGATTCTATCCATTTTAATAATGATGATAGTTCCTGTGAACCAACACCTACATCTTCTCCATTATTACCAAGAGTATCAATTTCTACTTTACTTGGAGAACTGCAGAATGAAAAGATTCAGTCCAAAAGAAAGGCTTTAGAGAAAAAAATTAAGAGACTTCAGGTAACCAATACACCTGTTGAAAGGCCTCGGAGTACAACTCCAATAAATGTCCACACTTTTGAGGAATATGTCAAGGAATTCGATTCTCCGGAGAAAAGGTTGTGTTCTGAAAGCGGAGAAAAATTACAGATAAAACTTCCTGGAGAAGAATTCAGTCACAAGCATAAAAGTCCAAGGAAACTAAAATCTTGTCAGAAAGATAATTTAACTGTGTTTAATTTTAATGAAGATCAGCTATTTTCCCGGACAAAGTCTGCTGTTGTTGTACAGGATGATGGGGTAAGCCCTACCCCTTCACCCAGGCGGGTGCTTCTCCCTCCCAACCTGACCCCAACAGCAAGTCCTGTACTCTCAAGGGGTCATGTTGAAGTCAGTCCAAACCTTTTTGAGAATAAGAGTCTTAACAGTGAAAGTAAATCTACAGAGAATTCAGGATGGGTGGCATTTGATCAAACAAAATCATCAGAAGCAAATGACATTTGGTTTAAACAAGACTTAATCAATGCTCAACTTGTTGGAGACCAATCATCAATTTCAAACTCTGCTTCATTCAGTGCTTTATGTGGTGACAAACCTTTTAAAAATGAAGAGGAAGATGTGTTAACTGTAAATATTGAAGAAGTTGATGGGAGAAAAGTGGTGGATATTCAGTGTCAGCATCACAGAAATGGTGAAAAAGATGGCAGAGACTTAGGACAGGCAAACCATCAATGTCAAAGTACCCCTGAATCAAACATAGCTTCAGAGACCACAGCTTCATCAGATGTTAAATCTGAACAGGTACAATACAAACTTTACTTATATGTGGTCAGTAAGATAAATGGTAGTTGCAAGATGTGTAATTGACTTATTACAATCAAATGTATATAAAACTCAAAAAATACCCCAAAAATTTAAATGTTTTCATGACTGGGTCCATAAAAAGGGGAGTCAGCCTTTCAATGAATATTTTTAGCTCCCATTCCTCAAAGAAGTTGGGAGGAGCTTATGTGAATCCTTCTGTGTCATTGCTTTCATCCCACTATGATCCCAGGATAAAGTTTTGGAGCACTTTCCTTTGCCCTACAGTAATGAATGAAGCATAGAAAATACGTCTAATGACTGTTTCACAATATCTAATTACCAGGTATCAGTCAATGTTTCAGATGCTGCAATTTCAGCTAAGGAATGACCATGTTAATGTTTTTTGAAGCAGGTCTCATTTCCTTGAAACTATAAGACCTATATTGAACAAACTTGCATGGATGATATATCAAAGGATGAACACTACCAGGCCTGCTTCAGATGCTGGTTCTGACATATTTTCTGGATGAGTGAGCAGCTTAAAGTTTTTTGAGCAGGTCCATAAAAATACCAAGAAACTAATTAAGCCCTGTGTTGACCAAACTTACATGAATGATGCATCAAGGGATGAACACTGTCAAAGTTAATTGCTTCAGATGCTGAATTTGTCAAATCCAGCATCTGAAGCAATTAACTTTGACAGTTCAAAATGTTACATAATTGTTCATCCAGAAAATGCAAATAATTCAATTATTTACATTTTTTGGATGAACAATTATGTTACGTTTTGAAGAGTTATTTATTCTTAAGCTACCAAAAGCCCTAACAGATCAAAATTGGAGAAATGTTGCATCTCTGGATGTACACTGCTTGTGCTAGATTATTAAGTTTAATGTGGAACTTTGCCTCTCTTAAAAACATCATTTATTGAGATGAGCTCTGTTATAAATCTCTGATTTCCTATGTTTTAAGTATATATATTATATAAATATAGCCCTTTGATGAGGTCAATCCATATATATATCGACTTCACAGAAATGCATATCGACCGAGCACAGCAAAAGGGAGCATCCCATATCATGCTAACTAAAAATCAAGACAGCATTTGACATGATTCCAAAGCAAATTATGTTACTCCTATTTTTACATGAAGAACAAACTAACTAACTTACAAACAAACACTCATAATTATGGAATCCGGATAGGGCCACGCAGTTCACTATCGCATCATCGCACCATCAGGTCGATAGTGCGATGAAGAGATAATGAGATGACGATGAGGCGATGGTGCGATAGCGATGAAGTGATGGTGCGATTGCGCGATGACGATGATGCTATGGCGCGACAATGCGATGACGCGATGGTACGATGACGCGATGGTGCGATAGTGATGATGCGATGACGATGGTGCGATAGTACGATGACGATGAAGCGATATTCACTATCGCTCAATCGTGCTATCGCACCATAGCCATCGCATTATCGCGCCATAGCATCATCGTCATCGCGCTATCGCATCATCGCTTCATCGTTATCGCACCACCGTTTCATCGTTATCGCGCCATCGCATTATCGTGCCATCGACCTTTAAGTTGATGCTCGATGGTGCGATAGTGAAGTGCGTGGCCCTATCCGGATTCCATACATAATAGAATGATATCTTCTACTCTCTAACTCCGTTGCAAGGGTATAAAAATTTACATCCACAAAAAAAGTTACCATATATTAGAATAAACAATGTGATATACTTTTATCCTTGTTAGTATTATCGATAAGCTGATAAAAGTTCAGTTTTAATCAATAGCTTCTGTTGCATTTCCAAAGACCAGCTAGAAAGGGGTCTACTGTAATAAACATGTAGCTCCTGATGTTAGTGCTACATGAAAATGGTGTGTCATTACAGGCTAAGCTCTCAGTGGTAAACCCTTCTTTATAACACATGAATTATATATTTACATTTATTTATTTTGAACTATAAATTCACCATAAGCTGAAGTATTAAGATTAATACCTTATAATCCCTATTAACAGCCCCGGGCGCTTAGAAAATTGCGAAAAGGGGGCAGTTATTTTGGTATTCTCTTCCTAAAATTTATTGTCATATTTTAATTTCAAAAAATCTTTTGAAAAAAAATAATAAATTCAAAGAAACACTAAAATATGTGTAACTTTACTTTAAGTGAAGATAATCCATCCACATTATGCTAAATGATTCATTTTCCACCAAGAAATTGGATTATAGAAATTAATTTTCATTTTCACTTTCTTCAAATCTTGGCAGAATTTGATACAATTCTAGATTATTTTAATCACTGTACAGGGGGCCCTTATTTCCTGACAATTAAAAAGGACCTAGAGGGGCACTTATAGGGGTAGGGGCGGTTAATAGGGATTATACGGTATAGTGTATACAGGGTAATTTTTACTCTATGATATTTTCACCCTTATATTCACACTTGCAAATGTTTTTGCAAGCTCATATAAAATTCACCCACAGACGGCTGACCCGTTAGTTCTTGTGTTATTACTATGTCTTCGTTGAATTTGCTATTTTAAATTTGCCTTCATGTAACAAGGATGAAAGGGGTTAAAATATATGGGGAAGGTATAATAATATCTCTTTTTACATAATATAAATAATGATTAGATATTTGTTGTGAATTTATTAAGGCATGCCTATAAAGTAGATGTGCATGTGTGTTCATTTAGAAAATGAATTTATTTTGAACATTGAACAATTTCTAAGAAAATTAATGACAAACAAGAATTTCAGCTGTCTGGTTTAAAGTCATCATTTCGTAAGTTCTAAGGTCGAATCGGGAGGTCATGAGTTCGTATCTCCGGCCGCAACTGCCCTAGTCGTTAAAATGGGTAGCAACTGTTTCTTCGCCATGCGCTCGGCACTTTGAAGTGAAAGTTGCGGGTCCTTTAGACGAGACCTTAAAAACCAAGGCCCCGAGTCAGCGGCAGGCATTGGCACAATAAAGATCCCTCACTGCTCAATGGCCCTGAGTGCCGAGTAAAGGTCAAAATTTGAAGCTCTTCACCGGCATATGGTGACGTCTCCATATGAGTGAAAAATTCTCGAGAGGGACGTTAAACAATATACAATCAATCAATCTAAGGTCGATACAATGACCTTGTCAGCAAATGCAATTTATCACTGAGTCAAATGCTGACTGACATTTTTCAAACTAATTGTTAGACATTATTTATGAATTGATTTTTCCATTATTTCACGATCATGACAAGGAGCACATGGCGGGTGTGACTGTTTGGCAGGGGATGCTCACTCCTCCATGGCACCTGATCCCACCTGATGTTTTGGAGATCCATGTTTGCTCTGCTCCTATTTTGTATTGTTTTATGGACTTTGATATTGAATACTGTTCATTATCTACATATCCTTCATTCATGAGGACATAAACTAAATGATAAATATGCAGGCATGTATTAAAGTATCAGCTTCTAGTTTATATACCCCATGAATTTTCAGAAATTAGATTCATATCTTAAATTTAATAGTATTTAACTGATTCTAGCTTCAATGAAAATTTTGTCACTGAAGTATCTTTTTAT